GTGGTCAGCAGCTCCCCCATAGAATAGTTTTCCCTCGGAATGAGCGTTCTCAGTGTGGCTGCACTGTGTGGTTCAACATTTAGTGTTCCCCCTTTCACACTCACCTTCTGCCTTGTCTCCACTGCTTCCATGGTCCACCCCAAGCCAACCCGAGGGTGGGGTTAAAGGCCTTTGCCCAGGCGTCTGCCTTCCCTGCTGTTTCTGTTCCCAGGCCTGGCTATGACCTTGAGGCATTTGTAGCCCAGGAACTCCCATCTCAGGAAGGCCCTGTTGCTGCCTTGGCACTCTGGTTTTTGGACTGAATCTTCACAGCCTTGTTTCACTGGTCCTACCTTGGAGGGCAGCTTCAAGGAGAGAGGGAGGGAGGCAGCCAGGCCAGGGTGGGAGCCAGGGCAGGTAAGCCCCTGCCGATGCCAGCGGCATGCTTGATCACTGGATGAAAGCTGGCAAGGGATGCCCCCGCCCTAACCTTGCAACATCAGAAATGGTGCTTGGCCCAATTCTCTATGCAAACACCTGACAGACTGGTGAGGGCATGGGACGCTGTGGATCCTCTTCATGGGAGGAAACTGTGACCCTGGCACCCTCCCTGGAGCTGCCCGGCCCCTGCCCTGTGATGGTCCTTCTCTGCCCCACCACCTCACCTTCATGACTTCTGTTCCTTCTGTTCCCAAGGAGCTCTCTCAAACAACCCCTTCTCCCATCAGCAACATGGGGCTCAGAGCTGTGGAGGAGGGGGCAGAGACAGCTTACCCTGGGGTTCTCAAAGGCTCCCTCCCCCAGGGTTGATCCAGTCCTCGGGAGAGCTGCAAAAGCCCCTGTTCTCTGAGCTCAAAGCTGCTGTGCCAGTGGCCTGTGTCCCTGTGCCCTCGCCTCATTGTGGGTGAGCCAGGTTGGCAAGCAGGATGTGAGGAAGCCCCAGACTTGAGTTCCAGCCCTACCACCTGCTTTGGGCTTCTGGGCTTTCTGGACCCCGGCTCCTCACTCCACATGAGCCAGGTCAGCCAACTCCTTTGGATTCGGCAGTGATGTGGCCATGAGTTAACAAGGGTACAAGCCAGGCCACTATCAGCGTGAGGCTTCTTGCTGTCCCTCTAAGTCCCTTCTACTACAGCTGGCGTCCTGCTGGGTGCTTACCTCACTGTGTCAAAGGGGACTAGAAATCCTGTGCCCAACTCTCTGGGGAATTCCATGACCAGACCACTTTCTCCCCATTTCCCAAAGCCCCCTCCCTCCCTTCTGCCTCTCTGTCCTCCCCTCCCACCTCAGCCCAGGCATAGGGCGTGGATAGAGGAGATTTTTGGCCCTAGAGAGTTTAGGTCGTTTCCCAGAGCCAGAGCAGGCCCAAGCTGGCCCGGGAGGTCCTGGCTAATCTGCCCATCACTACAGGTAAGAATTAGGATCAGAAATGACTGCAGGGGCCAGGCCCACGTGGGAGAAAGAGGAGCACTGTTGGGGGTTGTTGGTTTTATTCCAGAGCTTAATTGGTATAATTGCTCTCTCCTTCCTGCCAAGCATGGGTCTTCAGGATTGACTCCCCCACCTGCGGACCGGGAGTTGTTTCCAAAGTTGCTGGCGTCCCATCCCACCTGGCAGGCTCAGCAGCTGCTCCTGGGCGCCCTCACCACACCTCCGCATGGCAGGGCAGCTCAAGGCCCACTTAGGCCTGAGCCTGCCACAGAGCTCAGAGTGTGCCCTGGCTGGGTAGGGGAGGCCACTCTGCAATCATGGTGCCAACTGTTGGGGCCTCGAAGTCAGAGGACTTTGGGGGTGCAGAGAGGGGTGAGTAGCAGCTGCTGTTGCCCCTTCCCCTCCTGCTCCCTTCTGCATCCCTCCCTGTCACCTGGTGGCCAGCTCCTTTGCGGAGTCCTTGGGCCCCCTGGACAGCTCCCTTATTAGAGAGGAGCAGGACAGGGCGACTGGTGCTGGGCTGTGCTTTTTTTTTTTTTTTTAAAGATTTATTTTATTTTTATTGGAAAGGCAGATATACAGAAAGGAGAGACAGAGAGGAAGATCTTCTGATGATTCACTCCCCAGGCGGCCACAACAGCTGGAGCTGAACCAATCTGAAGCCAGGAGCCTCTTCCGGGTCTCCCACGTGGGTGCAGGGTCCCAAAGCCTTGGGCCGTCCTTGACTGCTTTCCCAGGCCACAAGCAGGAAGCTGGATGGGAAGCGGAGCTGCGGGGATTAGAACCAGCACCCATATGGGAACCCCGGGAGTGCAAGGCGAGGGCCTTAACCACTGTGCCATCGCGCTGGGCCCTGGGCTGTGCTTTTAACCCCCAAACAGTCCTGGGGTGGGCAGCTCACCAGCCCAAGGTTGAAGGCAGCTCATCTAGTAAGATCCAGTTTGGCCACACCAGCCAGGTGCCAGCCCCTGCCAGGTCCCCACACCCAGTGGGCACTGGGCCCTATGGAGTCAGCCTCTCAAGGAATCCTGAAATCTGTGTCCATTTCCCTCATTAACGCACACTCTGCCTTCTCCTTTAGGACCCTCACTCGCAAGAGGCTACATGCCCCTTCTTGTCTGAATACTATCTCCCCCAAGGGAGGCCAGTATAGGGATAACTTCTGTGTGACTCTGTGTTTAACTCAGGGCCCAGGAGTCCTGGAAAGCTAGACTACTGATGGGGATCTCCCCAGGCCCCCTGGGAAAGGTATGGGTATCTGTGGGTAGGCATGGGGAAAGGTGGGAGCCTGGACCTTCACCATGCTGGCATGCAGTATGGAGGCCAGAAACCCTTGATGGAGACTGCTGCCAGAGATAGGGGCTGTCCTGGTCTCCTGCAGCTTCCTTCTGTGCCTGTTCTGGCCAGGGACAGGGCTTATGCTCACTTGTTCAATCAGAAAGCCTCGTGCCGTGGCACCTGTGCAGGAAGGCACAAACGAACAAGTGTCCACTCTTCCTAGCGGTGCATTCTGAAGGATGCAAGCAAGACCTGCTCTTTGGGAATCCTGGCTGATAAGATCTAAGAACCAAGGCTGCCTAGGATGGCCCCATTAGCACCAAGTTGCCTGGGAACTTGGGCTGGAGCTCACAGCAAGACTGGGACCAGTGATCCATGGCCCACATACCCAGGAGCCAAGACCGGCGGGGGGGGGGGGGGCACATCTGCTGTAGCCATGGAAACCCAGGCCCGGCGGCATGCTTACACCATGGACTTCAGTCTGGCTTTCTCAAGGCATTGTGAGCCAGGGTCTCTGTCTTCTCAGTAGCTGATGCCTCTTGGACGTGGGCTCTGGGTAGACCTGTTGCCAGGACTTTGTGTAGGTGGGTACACTATCTTCTTGGGTCCTCTATGGATCTGATCTGGCCCCACTACCTGGGCCTGGAAACTCTGAGCATGTCTTCCCAACCAGACTCCTGGATGCTAGTCTCACACACCTGCACCATCCCAGAGAGGGGCATCCTAGACAGACTGCATTTTCAAGTCAAGGGGTAATGCCTGCTTTCCAAGAGACCCAGGACTAGGGTGAGGGCTGGCCAAACAAGGGCACTCTCTGGAGGGTTTCAGCACCTGGAGGTCAGGTATGCTGTGGGAGCAAGGTCATTCCTAATTGTAGTTTTGGTATGCCCTGGTCAGTTTACTGTAGCATCCTGTCCACCTGTGTTCCCCTCACCAAGAGCCAGGGGATTTGTGTCGGTGGTACCTGATGGCAGGGATGGCTCTGGTGAAATGCCATGGACGAGACAGAAACCTGGGAGGTGCCGTGAAAGAGTGGAAGCCAGGCCTGCCCACTCTGTGCTCACACCAATGCCCCCTTGGGTACAGCATTATGGGGCCTTGAGCCTGTGCAGAGGGCTGGGCTTTCCCTGGTTTGGGTGCCTTATGCCTGTGTGGGAGACCCCAGGCTCAGTGCCAATGCCCCATTCTAGACAGTTAGGTCCAGGAGTAGGTCCATGGTTGTAGGCCAGCCCATTGGGGTCCCCGGGGCTCACAGTATGGGATGATGATATCCCAAGTCCAAGTGGTGGACCAGGAAGCAGAATTAGTGGTAAATCAGCATAAGAGATGATGGCCTGGGCACCCTGAGAAGGTGGAGATGGGCAAGGCTCCTTGCCTTGCTGGGCTGCCAAAGTCTTCTAGAACTCATACAGGAACCTCCTGTGTCACCCTGGAATGTGTTGACAGGTTCCCCCACCATCTGTTTACCTGTGCTGAGAAAGCAGCAAATAAATCCCCATGGTGACCCACTGGGACCCCACATAGGTCACTACCCCAGCAAGAAACCTCAGGAGCTTGGCAGAGGCAAGGAAGAAGGGGGTGGGCAGGATTGGGAGGAAAGACATCACAGTCAGAACAGAAATGGATTTGGAAGCCTGAGGCTCCTGGCGGTGGAGGGGCAGGGAGGGGGACGGAGGGGAGGAGATGCAGGATATTTACAAATGACCCATGGGCTCCACCTTGGGGCTGAGAGTAAGAGCTGGGGTCCCGAACAGAAATGGCTGCACATATGTTGGCAGTGAAAAACTGGGCAAACGGAGACTCTAAGATGGACTATGTCAATCAGAGGATTCTTCAGCGACCTATTGTGCTTGGAATGGCGAGTTTGGCAGCAATTCATAACCGTTGAACTATCAAAACCACTTGAGCAAGACCCTTGGAGCATACCCCACATCAGGGACCTGGGGAGGGTGGGAGACTGGGTAGGGCTTCTCCCTTTATCTCCCCCTTTACCCCAGATACGTGAAAAAACAATGTGGAAATAATAGTCTTACCCACTTTCCTGTAGCCCTTGAACCTTTTTACCCTAATTAACTATGTAAAGATTGTCAAAAATAAAGAAAAGAAATGACTGCAGATTGGCGTGGGAGCCAAATAGGGGAGCCTAGGTGGGGAGGTGTAGAACACAGCATGAGTGGGAGTGGCCAAGTCTCAGTTCAGGTTCCAGACTACCATCCACAGCTCCACTGGGGGCCTGCCTGGCCCCACACAGCCCCAGTACCTGGTCTGCCTCTTGTCCCTAATTGACCCCTCTCCATCCTCTCTTCCACCAGGCGCCTAGATGCCAACCTCATCTCCCTGGTCCCGGAGAAGAGCTTTGAAGGGCTGTCCTCCCTTCGCCACCTCTGGCTGGATGACAACGCGCTCACCGACATCCCTGTCAGGGCCCTCAACAGCCTTCCCGCCCTGCAGGCCATGACCCTGGCCCTTAACCGCATCCGCCACGTCCCAGACTACGCCTTCCAGAACCTCACCAGCCTCGTAGTGCTGTGAGTGCTGTCCTGGCCAGGTCCTGCTGAGGATCCTGGCTATAGGCTTGCTTGAATGACACTGGCAGCCCTCTGGCTTGGCTTGTCTCTGTGTTGCTGAAATTTTTGGTCCCTGGATTGCCCCTGTTGACTATGTGGGGTTATCATGAGGCACCATGACGTGAGAGCTCCAAAAACACTCTGAGAGTTATGAAAAAGTTGGGGTTCTCTAATTAGAAAACAGGAATTGGGCTATTAGTTTCTCATTGTGCCAATATAATAACTATACCGTGCTAATTGGAATGTAAATCAGAAATTGCTTAAATCATTTCTACCATATGGGATGCAGTCATACGCTTTGGCACAGGGGCAGGATGAATTCATCTCTTATTTCCCAGGCCCAAAGACGGGAAGAAAAACCATGACTGTTAATTAGATGGCAGCACCCCGTCAGGGTAATTACCTGGGCGATAGCATCCTGGCAGGAATTGGGGGCTGGGGTTAACTTTGCCTTCCTAGTGGGAACTAAAAGTGCAAATTAGCTTCCAGCTAATTGCTGTGAACGATTGGTAAGTTCATAGGGTAATTACTGAGGGCTTGGAGGTCACGTGTAATTGCTTAGGGTTGCACGCTAATTGCTGCAGGAACCTGGCTCAGGGACACACGTGTTACTGACTGTGTTGGTGGCAAACAGCCTTCTCCGCCTTTGGGTATCTAAGGGTTGCAGCTGCAAGATGGCAGCATCTGCCAGTTTGCCTAATTCTGGATGAGTGGAGACCCGACTTGGATTGTTCTGAGGGTCACTTTCAGCTACAACACTCTCTTTCTGGGAGTCTGTGGGGAATCTACATGAAATGCATGGACTGGGGTGGCTGGTTCTAGCATTGGGGAGAGCCCTGTGACTTTGTGAGGGAATAAGGCCAGGTCCCTGTGAAGGATGTGGCACATGGACAAATGAGATCTAACAAAATGCAGCTGCAGCAGGTGCTTGCAAAGCCCAGTGTGGGCCGTGGAGGTGTCCCAACAGGGGTAGATCCAGCTGCTACACAGTAGGATTTCTATGGGGGATGGTCAGTGATGATGTGGGTAGCTCAGACTACAGCTGCACTGTTGAGAGTAGCACAGGTACCATGGGGAAGCCAAACAACCTTGGGTGATGGGGGCAGGGGGACCCATGGAGGAGAGAATTTTGGCCCTCCGACATGGGTGTGTGAGGCAAGCAGGGGGGCCCCAGAGCATTCCAAGCAGTCATCAAGGCAGATACAAGGAGAAAAGCCAGGCTGGCTGCATGTGGATGGGCAGCGCAGCAGGAACTGAGTCTCACACAGGCCATGGGATGGATGATGGAGGGCAGCGAGGGAATCTGGGAACCCCCAAGATCAGTGTGAGAAGTTTGGTATTGATCTGCTAGCAGGAGATTTTAAGGGTTTCAGGCAAGGCCCAAGAGAGAATTTCAGGAAGATGAAGGAAGGGTGGGAAGGAAGGTCCTTTGGAGACACACAGCCTAGGGAGGAAGCAGCAGGTATAGCTAGGAGGGAGGGATACTTTGCAGAAAGAGTTGATAGGAGCTACAGGCTTCTCAAGGATGAAAGACCCTAAGGTTAGGGCTGGCTTCAAGCCAGGGAATGCCTGGGCCTGAAAGCCAGGCGGCTAGCAATGGATGGCTAAGGGGGCCACTGAGGATGAGTGCCCAGGATGCCAGATTTTCAACCTAGCCAAGATGGACTTGGCTCTTGGATGGGATAGGGAGAGAGAGGCTTCTAGCAAGAAGTGACCTGCACAGAGGAGAGGAAGCCAGGGCACTGTGTAGAGGCCATGCTACCAGAAGGGCCAGGAGGCAGGCAGGAAAGACAAAGGCTGCCAGGGGGCCAGGAAGCTGGGGAGGGTGACTGTGCGCAGGAGCTCTGTAGAGGAATCTGGGCGGGCAGCATGGGGTAGGTGTGAGGGCCATGGGACATGAGTGCCCCTTGTGGAGGGGAGGCAAGTTCAGTCCCAGAAGACAGAGGAGCAGGTGGGCAGGGAAGGAGAAGCAGACGGGAGCTCTCTTTACCTTGCCCCAGGCCTGCCTGCCATGGCCTTTGGCTCTCAACAGCCTTGAGGGTTGAGAGGGCCAGCCTGATTTCTACCCCTTGTTACTGATTTCCTCTTTCTGCCTGAAGATGCTTTTTTAAATTCTCAAACTTTAATAGTTCCACTCAACTATGTCACAGTGAAGCCTATTCTGCATCCAATCTCCTTAGCACAATGTTGGCTTTGAGCTACGGGTTCCATTCTTCCTTTATCTTGAAGACTTTTTCTGACAGCGTCTGAGAGCACCTGCAGTCTCCGTTCTGGAGTCTGTCTAGGGGACATCTGTGTCCAAGTGTGGAGTCACCTCTGGTGGTTTTAATCTTTCTGTCTTATTCCTCCATGTGAGCCATCACTGTCTGAGACTCTACACTGGCAGCTTCAGTGTTCTGGTTTCTTTCTATTTCAAATGCTTTGGCTTGTTTTTTGAAATAATATAGCTTTGGTTGCCAATTTACTTCCTTACCCTACCATGTTGTTCTCCTTTTCATCAAAGCATTTTGGCCTCTGTTGTATGGAAGGCGATTGTGATTAACTTCCTCTGTTCCCCTCATCAGCTCTGCTGTCTTCTCAGCCTGGAACCCAACCTGTCCATTGCATCTTCCCTTTGCCTCTGCTGTGGGCCGTGGTCTTTCCTAGGAACTGAGTCCTTGTTTCTGTCCTCTCGCTTTGGGCTGCCTCTCTCTGGGCCCTGGTCATTCTCACCCTGATGACAGTCTGTGGACCAAGCCCTGGGAAATGATAGGCCCTTTTCTGTACCTGGTACGGTGGTGGAGGCAGGAGGTATGCTCTGAGGAAATGCCCAGCTCTGTCCACCCAGGCTGTATGAGTTCACGTCTACCTGCCAATGCCCTTGAATGGCAGTGAGGAATTCAACTTTCCCTTCCACCTGTCCCTTTGAGAAGCTGTGAGCAAGGAGGAAGGAGGAGACCTGCATCTCTTCATGTTTGCTGGCTTTGGGAGAATTCTCATCCAGATTCTGGAGGAGGAGTCTGCGGAGGAACTAGCTCCATGCCTCAAGGCTGCCCTTTCCCACATGCATGCGCGTGTAGCACGAGTAATTCCCTTCCTCACTTTGTGGCTCTTGGTGGTGTCTGCGGTGTACACCAGCATCTGTTTTAGGCACTGAGAATAGGAAAATCTGTCACTTCTTTTCAAATAACTATCCAGGCTGATGTCCCACCTCTCCCCAGTGGTCTGCCTTGCTTTGCCAAGCCCTTCATGGACATAGCAGGCTGGACCCCACTGGCATGGTGCTGATTCTGTCAGTGTACCTGTCATCCAAGATCCTGCTGTGGGTCACCGCCTGCATGCAGTCTCCCTTGGTGCTTGTGGCCTCGCCAGCCTTGCTGATCTCTGAGCTTGTCTGCAGCCCTCTCCCATTGTAACGAAAGCTTGGCCTCTAATTGTATGTTGTCTGGAGTGGTTTCCTCTTGGCTCCTGTAAGTATGCCTGGCCACTGAGTCAGGCAGGCTGGGTCCTGGGGAAAGCCTCAGACGCGAACCGCTCTGACCTCAGGCCTCTCTCCTGCGTGCAGGAGACATATGCTTAAGTCCTCTTCCGTGTCACTCCTCCCTGCTCCCTTCCAGCCCTGGCAACCACATCTGGAAGTTGGTCATCTATTCATGCCCTGTCACCACTGTCCTGCCCACACTGCCGCATGCTTGGTCTTCCCACCAGGGGCTCCAGTGCTGTGGGTACCCCATCTGATGCATCTCTCTCTCTTCTGCAGACACCTGCACAACAACCGCATCCAGCGCCTGGGACCCCACAGTTTTGCAGGGCTGCACAACCTGGAGACACTGTGAGTACTGGTGGCAGTGTTGTTGCAGGGTGGGGGTGCTGGACAGAAGGACAGGCTAACAGGACAGGAATGCTGGGACCTGGCCCCACACCTGCTCCCCAACCTGCCCTGCCCCTGTGCGTTCCTCCTACAGATGGGTAAAGTGTGCCTCTGAGAGTTGAGGGCTGCCCAAAAAGTGGGCACACCAGCCCCTGCCAGCAGGGACCACCAAAATAGTGACAACTTCAGATGCACCTGGGAGGAACATGGAAGGGCTGGTGGAATTAGGTTATGGAGCCTGGAGCTGGAGGGCTCCATGTGGGGCTGAGCTGACTCGATGGCAGTTTGGATATCTGTTGAAGGGTGGCTGTTGACAGAAGGGAGGGCCATGCTGCAGACTGATGCTGGCCCCAGTTGCCAGCATATCTAAGTAGCTCAATGATTAATGAGGAGATGGCCCATTCAGCATTCCAACCTAACTATAAATAGCACCCAGGCTGTTGACTCTTGAAATGCCGTATTATTCACACATCACCATCCTGGAATTTGGTGAAGGTCAGATGGCACCGGAATGTGCCTCATTCTGGCTGTGGAGCCATGCCAGCCCCACCACTGAGCGGGCCTGTGAGCCCCAGCTGAGCAGACAACTGACCCGGTTTTGTAAGTGTGGCTAGCCATGCCAGCTGGGGTCCCTCACTCCCAAGAGGCAGCTGGCTGCCACGGCCACCTGGTGCAGCCTGGGAGGGGACACCGGAGAGAAGAGTCCAGTTCATCAAGTGTGAGCCACCATGGTTGCAGACGGCTCATGGTGTCAGGGCATGGTGGTGGGTCCTCTTGGCTACGTCCCTACATCTCCCCCTTTTCCTCTCCACTAAGTGTCCCAAGGAGTGGCTCCCAAAGGGAGAGGATTTTGAGGATCCAGAGCAGTAGAAGCATACATCAGAGGTGGGCAGTGGTCTGGGAGCAGCTGCAAAGTCTATGCCAGGAGGGAGTGGTGGTGTAGGGGTGGCGACACTGAGAACAGATCCTCCTCCTGGCCTGTGGGAGACCCACTGATGTGTCGGTTCAGCCTGAGGGAGGATAAAGCCAGCTTGGCTGTCCCATGATCCACTACCTGCAGCTGAGCAGTTATGGGGGAGTGGGCATGGGGCAACATGTCCCCAGCCTGCAGCCTGAAAAGCTGGACCCTCTCCCTGCCACTGCATGTGATCTGGGCTCTGGGCCCCACACTGTCGCAGTTACAGGCAGCCAGGCAGTCTGGCCCCCTCTGTGCAGGGAAGACTGATGGCCAAGAGGTGGCATGGCCCCCAACCCCAAGTTGCTACCCAAGCCAGGGCAGAGCACTCTCAGGGGTATTAGCAAAAGCAGAGTGAGGCCTTAGGCGGGTGCCCCACATGCTGTGTTGCCTTTGTGAGTCCAGTTTGTGCTAAAGAGAAGGCCTAGGACTGGAGGTCAGTACCTCCCTGTTGCCTCAGGAGAAACAGAGCTTTGGGGCCATGTATGTACCAGCAGGGCTGGTGGGTGGGAGGGCATCCCGGTCAGCAGCCCCCAGAGTGGGGGTGTCAGCTCTGCTGGGAACTCAGGTGGAGAAGGGTGCATACGCCAGGCATGGGCTGGCAACTCTCAAAAGCCAGCAAGCAGCTGTTTTCTTCCCTGCTGGGGCACGCTGCCTAATTCTTTCTCAATTAGCCGCTGGAGGCTGCACAGGGCACTTGGCTCAGCTGGCATTGGCTGACTTACAGAGCAAGCCTGCCGCTAAGCACCCGCTCGCTGTCCCTTTCATCTTCAGGAGAGCTTGGCTCTGTCACACAGAGCCCAGGGCTTGCACCCACTTTACAGATGGGCAAGCCAAGGCTCAGAGATGAGAACATACCCTTGCCCCTGGCTCTGCCACTTTCCACTGTGGAGGTAGAGTGGGCTGATGGCAAAGACCCTGGGCATCAAAACACCTGAGCGACCATTCTGTCCTATCTGCTACCTGATCTTGGGCAAGTCACTTGAGTCCTCAAGACTGTTTTCTGTCAGCAGGGCAGGGCTCCAGCGTTGCGTGTGGCTCAGCAGCGAGAGGATGTGTGTGATGTCCCCCTGGAGCCCGGCAAGCTCAGGCTCCTCTCCCCAGTCCCTCCATCTCAACAGCACCCCTTTCTTCTCCACCCTCGAGGGCCAAGTCCTTCTTCCAACTTTTGATCTCAGATTCCAAAGGAGGTGGGGGTTGGTGGGGAGTGTGTATTCTGGATCCTCTCTCATCCCCAGAGCGTTTGCTGGGGAGCCTGCAGGGGACACCAGATGTGGAGGGGGAGGAGCGGCCGGGAGAATAAAGGGAGAGAAGAGCGAGAGTTTAACCTGTTAATTGTTGCATAATTGGCACAAGTCCGCAGCCTTCCCTCTTACCTATTACGCAGAAGCTTTCATGTGAGCCTCTCACAGCAAGGGTATTTCTCCCTCAGGCCCCGTAAATCTTTACCACTTACACCTCTCTCATCTCCGGGCGGCAAAAGGAAGATCAAACCCTCAGTGGCTGGGGGCTGTGGCTTGGCTCCTCCGCAGACGTTTCGGAGGGGAGTGGGCCCCCAACCCTTACCCACCTGGGGAGGAGGGGCCAGGTGCGGGCCCGTGCATGTGCGGTCACACTGGCGCCCTGACTGTACACACGCCAAGCCCTCCCGGATGCTCCTCTGCCCAGGATGGGGCTGCCCCCTGCAAACACACCTGTGTGTACCTCAGGCCAGGCTGCCTACCTTCCAGCCCAGTTCTGCTCATGCTAACTGGGTCAGACCAAGCAAGTCCTTGGGAGCCTCTGTCTCTTTATTGATGCATTGGGCTGCCCCAAAGGTGACGAGTCAGCGAAACACAAACAAGTTCTTTGACTCCCAAAGGGCCACTAGATCCTAGAGATCTGGGCAAGGCTCAATGGCCAGCTGCTGTTTGACCTCTCTGCCACCGAGCAGCAGACTTGCTGCGGGCCCCAGGAGTGCTCCGAGGAAGCCCGACCTCCCAGGAAGGAGGGTCCTGGGACATTTCTTCTGACGTAGTCGTCACCACTCCAGACCTTGCCAAGAGACTTCAGCCCCGGGACAGACAGAACGTGCCCTGTCCTGCACCCTCCCCCCAACTCCTCTCTATGCCACTAATGAGCATGGCCCCCACAGTGTGGGAAATTCTCCATCATAGCTGGATGGTCTGGCCCTAGCCTGAGAAGTAGGATCGCACAGATCTGAGGCAAGAAGCTGAGTTTCTACAGCTCCTGTGTGTTGGGCACCTGCTGGTAGCTGTGCCTTCTGCTCAGTCCTGCGTTACTTCCTGGCCCAACAGCTCCCTGGGAGGTTCGATCAAGAACAGGCCTTCCCTGATTGGGCTGACAGACAAGGGGAAGGTCAGCCTGGGAGGGTTCCTGCAGGAGAGCTCAGGACTTGGCCCCAAGTGCCTGGGTCCCCAGATCAGCAGGCTTGGGAAAGTTGGTCCAGCCCCACAGCTAGTGACCCCAAAATCTCAACCATGTTTAACCATACTGTTCTTGTAAACAATCACAAGTGGTCCAGTAATCCCAGTGGGTCAGTCCTGAGGTTGGGAACCTGCCTGTGGGCATTGTTGCTAAAAGCCAGCCAAGATCTGAACAATGGAGCCTCCTCTCCCTCGGCCAGCACCATGGTTCAGAGGCTCACCATAACCTCATTAAACATACCAGGATGCCCAGAACTCGGTGCTGCTGGAGGAGAACCTGTGGCCTGAGCAACAGCAGAAGCCTCCCAGCCCCACACTTGCTCCCATTCTGGATCAGGACTAGCACCTAACAGGGCTCTGGGAGGACAGGGCAGGAGTCAGGGAACTCTGGCTTGTCGTATGGAATTGCACCTGTGGCAGTCAGCGCCCTGAGCACCTGCTTCAGCTGAGCATGTTCACTCTGCCCGCAGCTCGCTGACACACCAGTGTCCACAGGCTGCGTTCTAAGCACACTCTGACATGGTCCTGAAAGTAGCCTCTTGCTCCTGGGGCCTGCTGCTGCTCAAGCTTGGCTGGGGACTGAAAACCACACCGGAGGTTTTTCCAGAGATCCAGGTGTGCATGCTGGGCTTGACTGGGCGGACTGATATTTACATCTTGGCTGTGCCACCAGCATGTGACACGTGTAAGTCACCTGCCCTCTCAAGAGCTTGAACTGCCACAAGGACAGACTGGGGCGGATGTTCCACAATGTGGAGAATGGTGGCAAGTCCTTGAATTAGGTGAGACAGCTTTGTGCAGTGTCTGAGTGTGGGTGTTCCATCTCTGTTGGCGTTCTCATCCTTGTTCTCCCACTTGCCTGGTGGGACTTTCTCTCTCTCTCTCTCTCTCTCTCTCACACACACACACACACACACACACACACTTACGAGGCACTTGGGGGCTTAAAGAAGCAGCATCAGGTTTTCAAGGCCAGAAATTCAAATGCAGGTGTCGGTAGGGGTGGTTCCTCCTGTGGGACCTGAGCGTGTTCACACTCTGGCACTCTCCTGGCACCTGCTGGGCTTAGCATTCCTTTGCTGTAGACCTGTGCCAGCATCTTCATCTGGCCCTGTTTTCCGGCTCTGTCTTCTGTGTGTCTCTTCCTCCTCTTCTCGAGGACACCCTTGTCATTGGACTTACAGCTCTTTTTGTTTATCCATGGTGGCTTCAAGAGCCTTCCCTTCCTTCTGCCAAGGTCCCCTTTGCCAGAGGGTCCCATTCATAGGTGTAAGGGTCAGGGCAGGATGGAGTTCAATGGGAACCATTCAAGCTTTACATCTGAGGCTGCGTGGCAGAACCTCAGGGGCAGAGGTATAGATAAGTCCATTTCCAAGTCCTGGTCTCCTGGCTAATGATATTCCCTGCAGCTAAGGGACTGGGCATGCTTTCCCAAAGGCCGTCTCCTCTCATTACACATTTATTCCTCTAATGGCGGAACTGAGGCCTCTCATGATGCAGCTGGGCCACTGAGGCAGAGAGCAGCTGGCGTGCCAAGGCTGCCCAGCTGATTATGAGCCAGATTTTTTTTTTGCCTTGGC